AAACTAAATGCTAAAAGTTAACCCCAGTAGCCACCCTTTCCCCAAATAATTCACAGAGAGTCAAGTCCCACAGTACCATCGGCCAAGAAATGCCCGAGAAATATCCACCTTTTGTGTACACGGACAGACAGACGGGTGGGAGTGACACTATACTGAATTGAACCCCCTCTCCTAGGCCTTGTAAGTCGTGGCGGGGTATAAAGAGAAAGACACACACACACACACACACACACACACACACACACACACACACAAAGGATTTAGGTACTAGATAGGGAGTACAATTCTAAATTCTTCCTCAGTGTGTGTGTGTGTGTGTGTTTGGTAATGGAAGCGAGGGCCAGCTGGGGGAGGTGTGTTGTGGTGTGGTGTGTTGTGGTGTGGTGTGGTGTGGTGTAATATGGTGTGGTATGGTGTGATGTGGTGTGTCGAAATAAGTTAACCAAGCTATTCCCCCCCCCTCCCTCTCTCTCTCTTCTTTCTATGCTCCCTCCCTCATTCACTCCCTCCTTTTCTCCCTTTACCTTCTCCCTCCCTGACTCCTTCCCTTCTCCCTTCTTCACCCTTGCTTTCCTTTCTTTCCTCTCCTCTCTCTCCTTGCTCCTTCATTTCCTCTCCCGTCCATTCCTCTCCCTCCCTCTCTTTCCTCTCCCTCCCTCTCTTTCCTCTCCCTCCCTCTCTTTCTTCTCCCTCCGTCTTTTCCCTCTCCCTCCCTCTCTTCCCCTTCCTGGCTCCTCTTCACCGGATACTGACGCTAAATCTTGGCAGGTTGTGTCTCCACGAATTTCCCGGATCAGGCGGGCGAGAGGCAGTGACCCACAGAGAGAGTGAAACACAGAGACAGTGACCCACGGAGACAGTGACCCACAGAGAGAGTGAAACACAGAGACAGTGACCCATAGAGACAGTGACCCATAGAGAGACACAAAGATCTGTTTTCTTCTCTCCTTTACACGCTAACATATCTATAGCTAACCACATATAGATTATTATATATAGAGAGGACATATATATATACAGTATACAAATAGTATTATATATATTATAGAATTCCTCTCCCTAGACTCGAACCATTGTTATTGGGATCACTAGTTCGAGGCTTCAGACCACTATGCCACCTTCCCATGTGTGTGTGTGTGTGTGTGTGTGTGTGTGTGTGTGTGTGTGTGTGTGTGTGTGTGTGTGTGTGTGTGTGTGTGTGTGTGTGTGTGTGTGTGTGTGCGTTTGTGTGTGTGTGTGTGTGTAAGTGAAACATTCTATCCTCAGCATGATTTAAATTTAAACGTATAAAACTTTTCACATAGGAATTCACGAAGAAAATTGACTTCTATGATAGCGCTATTAAAAGTTCTCTCGACCAGTTCAAGTTTACCGGCAGCCGCCTGAGTTATCTAGCACACACACACACACACACACACACACACACACACACACACACACTTCAGTTCCACGTAGTATAAGTATATCCTTGTCTCTATACCAGGAAAAAAATCGAAAAACACACGTGACCAAGGTAGGAAAAACTGGCCGGGGCTTGAGTGAACGAGAGAGAGAGAGAGAGAGAGAGAGAGAGAGAGAGAAGATTCATCCCAGGGTATTATAATGGTTGATGTGGTTAGGTTAGGACAAATTAGGTTAGTTTAATGTGTGTCTGTCCTAATGTTTATCTCTTTTTGTTCTTGATAAATTAGATTTCGTAGACTGTAGAGGCTGCATGGACGTGGAGGCATAGATTAGGTTAGACAAGATTAGTATTAGTTAGAATTTGATATAATTAATCTAACAGAATCATAAGTTAGTTAAGGTTAGTGATAATTAGTCTTAAATTAGCTAAGATTAGTCTAATTTAATATGTTTTGGTATTATATTTCCCAGTGTATAATAAATATACCGTTTTTTTCCCCCAATGCAACAATAGTTTTTCTCGGCCTCAGTAATTTAAAACAGTAAAAATCCGATGTAAAAAAAAAACTAAAAAAAAAATCACATCAAATTTTACAACTATTAATAATATTCTAATCTCGTTTTCTGTAACATGAACTAGCTTAAACCATAAAATATTCTATTACTATTGGCTATTAATATTCATACTGAGATTAGTTCACATTTTCACTTCATTTTAGATCAACTAGGTAATTTAACATGGACGGGAGAGGTACAGTTACAGAGATTACAAATTTACAGTACATAACACTACTTAAGTTTACTGTATTATCCTGTATGTATATAAAGTAAAGTTTATTAATATACACATTATTAACCTCTATCAACACGTCACGGGTCCTTAGGGGTATTAAAGGTAAATGTTAATAATCACTTAGAAGCGGAATTCACGACCTGTAGTTAAGACTTTAAGACTGTAAACATGTATCGTTAAGTCACATATTATTGGTCTTGTGTTCAGGGTATATCAGTGTGGTACATCAATCTGTACACACACACACACTCACACACACACACACACACACACACACACACACGCACGCACACACACACACACGCACACAGATTTACAGTCATGAATCAGGTTCCAATAATGGACCCGTCGGATCTGGGACTGATTGGAACGTTTGAAATGAAATCTGTTTCTGTCCTTCATTCTCTTCCAAATTGACCACAATATGAACATCTCCCCATAACCATATTGGCCATAATTTAGTAAAAATAAATAAAATAAAATAAATAATAAAAAATAATGATGATAAAACTGAATTCTATCCACCTGACATAAACACTCGACTGGCCAAGCGGCGTCTCTTGGGCTCAAGGAGTATGCAAGACGCCCCACAGGGTATTTTGTTATTGAGCCCAGCATTGTAGCAAAGCCTGGGAGATTTGTCGGTACATGCGTTACGATCAGGCAGGGAGACAAGTTGGGGGGGAGGGTGGGATGGAGGGAGGGAGGGGTAGGAGGAGGGAAGGGGAGGGAGGGAAGCGAGGAGGAGGGGGTGCAAGGAGGGAAGGAGTGAAAAGGGTGAGAGAGAGAGAGAGAGAGAGAGAGAGAGAGAGAGAGAGAGAGAGAGAGAGAGAGAGAGAGAGAGATAATCTAAAACAACAAAAAAAGTCACAAATGATAATAAACAAAGTAACGCTAAAAATAATGAAGAACACAAAAGAACAGACAATAAACGGGAAGAACATAACCACAAAATACAAAGAACAAAACACATTCCCTCTTGTTCTTAAATATAACAAAGAACAATATCCATTTTCCATCTCAATATAACATACTGTACCTCAATACACTCGGTCTAATGATTCTAGTTGGTATCTTTCTTAACCAGGTAATTGTCGTTCTCAGAGTAAATATTGACATGTCCTTCTACCCAATAGACCCCAAGATAACTTTTTTTTAGACAATAGCAAATAATCATACACCTCTGACTGTGAATCATTGGACTCTGATTACATTGGTGACTGTGAATCATTGGACTCTGAAAACATTGGTGACTGTGAATCATTGAACTCTGATTACATTGGTGACTGTGAATCATTGGACTCTGAAAACATTGGTGACTGTGAATCATTGAACTCTGATTACATTGGTGACTGTGAATCATTGGACTCTGAAAACATTGGTGACTGTGAATCATTGGACTCTGATTACATTGGTGACTGTGAATCATTGGACTCTGAAAACGTTGGTGACTGTGAATCATTGGACTCTGAAAACATTGGTGACTGTGAATCATTGGACTCTGATTACATTGGTGACTGAATCATTGGACTCTGATTACATTGGTGACTGTGAATCATTGGACTCTGAAAACATTGGTGACTGTGAATCATTGGACTCTGATTACATTGGTGACTGTGAATCATTGGACTCTGATTACATTGGTGACTGTGAATCATTGGACTCTGAAAACATTGGTGACTGTGAATCATTGGACTCTGATTACATTGGTGACTGTGAATCATAAACACTGAATAATCCCTGACATAAAGAGTTCAACCTTGGTAATATTTTCTCGACACCTTCCTGCCGGGATACTGATCAACACCTATCCTATAACACGGAGTTAATAGTCATGTGTCAGGTAAGAACGCATTAAGTTATAGTATTATGATTCCTATCTTGAACGCCACTCTGTCCTACACCGTGATAGCAAAAAAAAAATAATAATAATACTAATTACTACCAGGGGTAAATATTATTGTCAACCCGAGTCCTGCTGAAGTAATTATTATCGTATAACAGAAACTGAGCTGAAGTTAATGTTTTATTCTATTACTTTATGATTTGTGTAGTAACAACGACGAACTACTACTCATTTTCTCCTTCCTAATCTTTTCAACAATACTGTACTTATTCTACTACTTACTACTACTACTACTACTACTACTATGATGATGTCACCTCTTAACTCTCAAGGATAAACAGTAAAGGCATTAAGACCACACAGTCATATACTTCTCTACAGAATGAGACACAAAACTCTTAGCATCTCTACTATCTTAAGAGGGTTACCATCAGCGTTTAATTATCAGCTGAATATATGCGACTGTGTTGACTTTCCTTGAATGAAAAAATAACAAAAACAAAACAAAAACAAAAACAAAGGAACAGTGTCGCCATCTATGAACGACTCTTACAACATTTTCTTCTGAGGGGATTTACGTCATAGGTGGGCAGACGTCAGGGGTACCAACCTAACCCTGACACCTTGTATTTTTCTTCATGTTTGTTTTGATATATTTTTTGCCATCTCAATAATTTTGTAATTCACTCCAACACCCTGTAATTCACTCCAACACCCCGTAACTCACTTCAACACCTTGTAACTCACTCCAACACCCTGTAACTCACTCCAACACCCTGTAACTCACTCCAACACCCCGTAACTCACTTCAACACCCTGTAACTCACTCCAACACCTTGTAACTCACTCCAACACCCTGTAACTCACTCCAACACCCTGTAACTCACTCCAACACCCTGTAACTCACTCCAAAACCTTGTAACTCAAAGTAACTCAGGACACCAAGCTTCAACTTACCGTGAGAGTAATGATCTTATCGAAGAGCATCGCTGGCGCCATGTGGAAATCGAACACGAAGTACTGAGGGAGAGAGTCAAGAGAATACATATTAGACTTAGTGAGAAAACACACACACATACACACACACACACACACACAGACACACACACACATACACACACACACACACACACACACACACGCAGAGTAGGAGTCGACGGGGACTCTTGATAATTTAACTAAGTTTGAAGCAGACAATTGCACTTCTTCGCCTTCACCAGATGACGCTGACACTCTCCAGTAGTGTACGAGGGAAGTATCATGTGTTGTATTTGTATCCTGAACAATCAGCTCTAATGTTACTGTAACGGGCTTAATAACCAATAGAAATAAGGTAATGAGGTAATGAACACGGAGGTTAATTTACTCAGTGTTGTTGTGATGTGAAGGTAAAGTAATAAATGTAATTAGAACAATATAAGACACAGGTATGTTCATTGCTGACCGTGTGTGTTAAGTGGGGTGTCGGCGGGTGTTGTGCTGTAATGCTATAAAAATAATCTGAATCACCAAAAAAAAAACCTATGGTCATTTAAACATATTCCTAATCACTGAATGTACTATACTATACTGTATTGTGGTGTTACAGTCACTAAAAATGAATGTACTAAAGTGTAATGTGCTGTAATGAATATATACAATACTAACTGCTATATTTTTAATCCCGTGTTACGAGAAAGAGTAAAAATGTAAGCAATTGTTTCTGTGAAAATTCAAGTTCCAGTACAAATCTCTTACCAATCCTCGACTTAGGAACTCCTGGCAGGTATTGTCCACCAGGAGTCACTTTATCCTGTACCTCATGGTGCAGGAGCTGGGGAGGGAGAGGCAGTGAGGGGTGACTTACTTATTCTTTTCTGGTAAGATATTGTGGAGCAAAAGTCAACAAGGAGGTTTTCTTTATTTATCCTTCTTTACTTTCTTTCTTCCTTCCTTCTTCTATCCTTCATTTTCTCCCCCCTTTAATTATTTTCTGTTTTTCCTCCCTCCTTCTTCCCTTCTTTCTTCACAACTACTTTCCTGTCTCTTCATCCTTCCAGCGTCATTTCTCTCTCTCTCTCTCTCTGTCTCTCTTTCTTCGTAACATTCATCTTCCTCTCCCTACTTCTCTCCTTCCATTCTTTTTGTCTCTCTCCTCCCTTCTCCTATCCACCCTTCTCTCTCTTCCTCCCTCCCTCTCCCCTTTCCTCATTATAGTAGCAGAGGCAGTTGGCAGATTTTTCACAAATATAAACGTCTTGCTCTCTTTATCCTTTCCACCCCCCCCCTCCCCTCTTCTCCTTCTCTACCTCTCTGCCACCGCCCTTCTTTCCTACTTTCCTCATGCGTCCATCCACCCCTCCTTCCTCCCTCTCCTACCCTCCGTCCCTTCCACCCCTTTCCGACCCTTACTCTCTCTCTCTCTCTCTCTCTCTCTCCTCACCTCGTTGTAATAGGGACAGTTGGTGGATTCCTTGACCGAGGTGTACTTCTTCTGGTCGCCCACCTGCACACACACCACGGGGTCCATGTTGAGCCCCGCCAGCTGTCTCGCCTCGATGATCGTAATGCACACCTGCACAAGCACAAGTGTGGGGTTAATTAGTCACCTGTACATATTTAAGGGTTGAATTAGTCACTTGTCTATACCTGGAGGTTTAATTAGTCACCTGTTTGTACCTGACGATCAAATTGGGTTCTTGCTGGCACCTCAGGGGCTAGTTAATCACCTGTTCTTACATGAGGGTTTCATTAGTCACTTGTTCACTCCTGAGGGTTTAATTGTTAATTTTTTATTCGTGACAATGTAATTGGGCATTTGTTTACATTTGAGAGGGTAATTGGTCACCTTTTTCATACAGGTGTGAATTAATGAGTTAACTGTTGATTGGCCTCTATCCTGTCATATATTTTGATAGGTGTTGATACGATACACCCGTGTTTATCAGGGTTACCACACGTCGAACAGGTACTGTAATAAGATAATGACGTGTGTGTGTGTGTGTGTGTGTGTGTGTGAGAGAGAGATGTTGGCAGGTCAGCGTGATGTCCTCCTGAGTACCGACCAGCAGGGCCAGACACGCACACTCGCCTTCAGTTGTTGACTTACCATTAGTGTCGCGGGTGACGCTCTTACGTCGAGCACCGCGGCCACAACACCAGGCTTTGGCTGTTGTCTCTCACCAGAAGCTCATAGAAATGTATATCAGTATTGTAATGGACCGAGAGGTTTACTTTTGTGTGACCCGGGTATAATAAAGGGGTTTAGCTCTATATGACCCGGAAATAAGAAGGGCTGAAGGCCGCTTTGACTCAGGAATAACAAGATCTTTGTATAACGTGGGAATAACAAGAGTTTTAGTCTTGTATGTCCTGGGAATAACAAGAGCTTTAGTTTTGTATGACCTGGGAATAACAATAGTTTTGTATGACCCGGGTATAACATAGAGCTCTAGCTTTGTTTGGTTGCTGCGCAGCGTTGAGATGACGAGAAAGTTTTTAACTGTTGGTAAATTCAAGAGTAGTGAAAGTTTTAGCTGTCTGTCATCCGCGAGAAGATAGGATAAGCCAGAAACTTAGCTGGGATGGTTTAGTGGAATCCGGAAAATAACTACAAACTTGAGCTGAGTTGTCTCCGTACAGGAAATAAAAACATTTTGTCATTGTTTCTGAGTCCGGGAACAAGATGAAGCCGACACCTGGGGAAATACACTACAGTAGGTGCTTTATTATTAATTATTATTATTATGATTATTATTATTATCATATATCGTCTCCTCGGGTTTCTAGAGATCCAAGAATAAGCAAAGCTCAGTAGCTATATATCTCGTAATCCTTAAACACTCGCTACTTACTTTACTCCAGCGCTACAATTTTTGTCCTGGTAAGTCAAAGGACAACCTATGAACGACGAGCTTCTGTACATGTAAACACAACACTAGATATTCAGTCGGACCACCATGGCGTGAGGGTCCTCTTGTGTTTACATGCCAAGAGGGTAAACAAATATTGTGATGATAAGCATGAGTGGCTGCAGTTACATGTTCGTGGAAGTTCTCGCTGTAGTGCCACCCGCGTGTGCTTCCAGGTGCCTTTACGACTATGGAATTATCCCGTCAGGTAATGTTGGTTGTAATAATAGGAATATTGCACACCGGTAACGGGGATGTATTTAGTGGTGGGTGGGGGGCAGCCAATGACGTTCAGGGCTTAAAAGACGGCAGAGAAGCAGTTCGTAAACATATAGTGCAGGTGGTGGTGTTGTGTTATTGGTAAGGCGGTGGTAATGATGGTGTAGTGTGTTGGTTGTAGTAACGTGGTTAGTGTGTATAGTGTGGAGGTGATGTGGTGTAGGCAGTACGTGTAGTTATGGTAGAGTATGGTGACGTAGTGGTTCTGCCGGATGGAGGTATAGTGATGGGGGGTTGCTGGGTGGTGTCTGCTGGTAAGGGGGCGGGGCGGGGGGGGTGATATACTGACCCGGTCTAAACACCATAACGAGGAATGCGAGCGTGGGGCTGGGAGTGTACTGTTGAATATATCAGAGCGAGGAATATGTGATCACTCTGAGAACCTTTAGAGGGGGGAGAAGATAATGGGGGTTCTTTGGCGGTATTTCCCAGAGGTACTGTAGGTGTGTATGGATGAGTGTGTTGGTGGGCGGTAGGAGGTGAGGGAGTAGGGGAATACGGCAGTAGACTGACCAATAGTGGTAAGTAACGTGGAGTGAGGTGGATTCGACAACACCACTGCTCAGTAAAAAGTTTAAGTAACAGTGAGGTGATCACACTAAGAAAACCGCTATAGCTTATTTTACCTGATGATTAAACACTCTAATGTTGACCAAACATAACGTATCCTACCCTAAGCTAAGCTAAGCTAACCTAACCTAAGCCTTGCTAAACTATGCTAAGCTAACGTAATATATCCCATAAAAGCGTTTATTTATATTTATCTCCCTCATACAACAAGACGGCTCAGTAATCCACAACACCAATCTCCTCCACCTGAAGTTTTAAGGAGCAGGATGATCAACACCTGCCGGGGTAAAAGAAGAACCCAAGTTTTCCACAGCTGTAGCCGACGAAGGTGCGAAAAACCGAGATGGATTTTCTGGAAACTTTCTGGGCGTCTCAGGTGCCCAAGACCCGACATCTCTTAGCACCTACAAATAGTGTTCAGTATTTTTGTGATTTTCTGAAGAGTTTACGATCAACTCAGATGTTAGATGACATGTATTCATCAACACCTGTAAAGACGAAAACAAGAGACAATCAACATCAACACCTGTAGCATTGGACGGAACAAGAATAATGGAGCGATATACTTGAAAGCGGTAGTGTGGTGAAGCTGAGCTGGGAAGAGATCAATAAGCCGCCACCGCCCCTGCGACAAGGATTTTCATCTCACACCGCCGCCAGCCATGGGTTATATACGACCACCACCACCACCACGTCATAACACCGTCTGGGAGATGACTACTGAGGGTGTACAGTACGGAGAGGCTGGGTGGAGGTACAGTACTTCGCCTTTGTGACAGTAAAAAATGAGCTGGTATCTCTGTGAGCTGATCCTTCTGTGAGCAGGTGTCTCACTTAGGAGCTAATTATAGCCTATCTCAGTCCCATTATAGCTCACCTGACAGCGAACCCTCTTACCTGACAAATAATTATATCACCTGGACCTTAATGATCTCTGACCTGGCAGATAATTATCTCTTATCTGTCTCGTGGAGATTAATTATCTATCACCTAGATACTTAATGATTTCTCATCTGGGAACTATCTATTTCTCACCTGGGAGCTATCTATCTCTCACCTGGGAACTATCTATCTCTCACCTGGGAACTATCTATCTCTCACCTGGGAACTATCTGTCTCTCACTTGAAAACAAACTATCTCCCACCTGAGGACTAATTATCTCTCACCTGCAGACTATCTCTCACCTAGGGACTATATCACCTAGGAACTATCTCTCACCTGGGGACTAACCATCTCTCACCTGGGGCCTAACCATCTCTCACCTGGGGACTAACCATCTCTCACCTGGGGCCTAACTATCTCTCACCTGGGGCCTAACCATCTCTCACCTGGGGACTAACCATCTCTCACCTGGGGCTAAATCTCTCACCTGGGGACTAACCATCTCTCACCTGGGGCCTAACCATCTCTCACCTGGGGACTAACCATCTCTCACCTGGGGCCTAACTATCTCTCACCTGGGGACCCATCTCTCTCACCTGGGGACTAACTATCTCTCACCTGGGGACTAACCACCATCTCACCTGGGGACTAACCATCTCTCACCTGGGGACCAATCCATCTCACCTGGGGCCTAAATCTATCTCTCACACCTGGGGACTAACCATCTCACCTGGGGACTAACTGTCTCTCCCAGCCTAACTATCTCACCTGGGGACTAACCATCTCTCACCTGGGGCCTAACTATCTCTCACCTGGGGACTAACCATCTCTCACCTGGGGACTAACCATCTCTCACCTGGGGCCTAACTATCTCTCACCTGGGAACTAATTATCTCTCACCTGGAAGTCCTGCGCCTTCAGCTCCGCCGGCGTCGAGTTGACTGTCTCAGATTTGTATCTGTAAGGAAATAGAAATACAAAAATATACATAAACAGATTACATAAATAATTAAATAAACCCATTTGTGAAAAAAATAAATAAACCAATAAAGAAAATAACCGAGAAAAAAATAGAATAAATCATTGTTTTTGTTTTTGTTTTTACCAATGTGAATATATTAGTCTGAACTAGTATACGATGCTGCGTAAATGAGTTGTAAAATATGGTTGCTTTTACAGTTTATTTCTTTAACGAATAATGTAGATTTATATTTGGTATGCTGACTTATTTATTTATTTACACATATATAAAATAAATTCACAAACAGGATTTACATATTTACAGATTTATTAAGAATCAGCTCGTGAATATTCCTCATAAATGAAGATCTGAAAATAAATGTAAATTGATTAAGTAAAACACAAAATTATGTCAACAAGTTGTGAATCATCAAACAACGTATCTAATTAATGCTAAGTGAACGTATCTAATAGGTGCTAAGTGAACGTATCTAATTAAAGCTAAGTGAACGTATCTGATTGGAACTAAGCGAACGAATAATATCAAATTAACACACAGTCTCAGAGCAAATCTAACATAATCTTCTAGTTTAAATTATCCAACCAGGTATATAGTCCTCACACCATTAGATATAAGTAGCATCAACTCTACTAAGCAGTGTAATCCCAGGCCCAGCTTTCGGAGGCAAAATAATACGTATCTGAAGTTAATCCGGTGTTAGCTGAGAGGGGGATTTAACACCAGCTGGACATTAAGAGGATATTGGAGAGTTATTGTTATTCTGATGTAGGATCTTTGTATGTACTGAAAGATTAGACACCCTGGTTTATTTCGTTTGAAGATTAGTCATTTTAATGTTATCTGGAGGGGGGTTAGGTTAGGTTAGCGTTAAGGTGGTCAATCTTCAGGTGATCCAAAGGTAAAAATATTCCCTCACACACAGATGAAGTGTTCCGTGTCTCTCATTGTTCGTAGTTTTGTGTTTCCTTAATTTAACTTTTACTCTTTCAATAACTTAAACAAATAATAATAATCCACACTTTTTTGATAATAATTTTTGGAAGACGTAAAATATAATGAATTCACGAGCGGCATTTTGTCGTCTTTCATTGAATATTTGAAAGTTTATTGCTGAACTTTTTTTAAACTTTAATACTTTAAGAGCAAAATATATAAACTTTCTCGCCTGCTATTTAATTATTCACGTTGGTTGAGTCTAGGAGGGGGGGGGGAGGTGAGTCAGCTCCGTCTGTGTGTATGTGTATGTGTGTGTGTGTGTGTGTGATAACTACTAACCTGGATAATGGTAAGATCATCGTAAGTGGCGTTTACTGTATGATCATCTTCATATACATATTAAGGTCAAAGGTCAAAGGTTCATTGGGTCACATGATGTAAAAAAGTCCATCTCAACTTTCTACGTCTTTTTTTCTCGAATATTTTTAGTTTTATTAATCATTAACTTTCTTTTTAAAAACTGAAAAAAAATTAGATAAAAAGTCGGAAACTCACTTAAGTTACAAACCGAAACAAGTTGAAAATAACACAATATTAATTTCTCTAATTTTCCCGTTCTTTCTCTCGCCACTTTTACCTTTCTCTTGCATTAATTTTCCTTTAATAAACTCCAGTAAACTAAGAACAAAATCCTTAAAACAAAATCTTAAAACATTTTCTTTTGGTATTTTTGAAAGGAGAGAGAAAGATTTATCCACACAAGAGAATAAAGATCATCAGGTTTTGCTTTCTTTTTTGGGGGTTGGTTTATTTTTTTTCTTAAATAAATAAATAAATAAAATAAATAATAACTAAAGTAAAAAAAAAGAAAAATTAAAAAAGAGAAAAATAAGAGACGAACAAAAATATATAATAGATGAATAAATGAGAGAAGAAAAAAACCCTGCAAATAATAAACAAATAAATAAAACAATAAAAAAAAAAAAATACATTACCCTATTATCAAATTAAACTTTCACGACTACAGTTAAAGCCAACATATCATCCCCCTTTTCACCCTACCCCCCACCTCCCCCCTCTAGCGTGCTCACCCCCAACAAAGGAAGTTTAAGGAGGTGAAACAGAGCATCGTCAGGGCAGGAAATATGTTTGAAGTGTAAATTACCTGGGGGAATGAGAGGCTTTGGGAGGATACACACAGGAAGCTAAAGGGAGTATATTGGCTACAGAGGGATTGAAGAGTCTATGTCTATTTACAAGAGCCAGATAATACAGGAAGCTATCACCTGTACTCGCCCAATGAACACTGTATTTTTGATCTGAGTCTCCCTGAAAAGTTCTCCTTTATGCCGTACGACAGTTTAAGACGACTGGCAGTGTTGGCGGGTGTACCAACCTGAGTCAAATTGGTGCATTTTCTTTTCTGGGATTGTGACTTTAACCTCTGACCTTGTAGATTGGTGAAAACATCGCAAGACATGGTGGCAGGGAACAGTCGACGCCCTCACACCACCTTACATAACGCCACGGTAACAGGTAATGGCCCAGACTCACAATGGCCACTCTCCCAATGGCCACTCTCACAATGGCCACTCTCCCAATGGCCACTCTCACAATGGCCACTCTCACATAGGCCACTCTCAAAATTGGCCTATTACCACTAGTTCCCTTGACAACACGCCTCCACCACCCTCACTCAGGCTATCAGAGAATCACATCTTAAAGCCCCTCCTCCCTCCTCCCTCCTCCCGTCAGCTTAAACTAATCCCTAAGGTCTTCACGCCTCACAGTGTATACGATGAATTAATACTAAGCGTTGTATATTAAAGGTGTAGTTCAGGTATAATGCTGAGACAAGGTGAGGAGGCGGGGGAGGATCAGTGTTGTGTACTAAGTGTTTCAAGGGTTTTCCTCTCACTGTATCTCCTTATCTTGAGAAGTCTCTTGTCTCTGATCTGCCCCGAAGATAGATGGAAGAGGAGTGGAGATAGATAGATAGATAGATAGATAGATAGATAGATAGATGCCACAAAATTCGCTCTTGGGCTCCACAAAATTTATTTCAAAGACATGTAAATAAATTCCCTTAGGAGCCGACAAAACACCCATTACAGTCCCACAAAACCTTTCCTCCCTGAGCGGCTTACTCTCATTGGCTGTGAGAGTCAACAAGTCTGAGCGTGTTGGGGACTAAACAACAACACCCACACGTGATCATCAGCTGGCAGAAGACGCTCGACGTTGCTCCTGGCCAACATGGGGGTGTAGCGTCGTCTGGAACACACCACACTAGGCACTATGTAGTACCCTCATAAGGACACAACTTGCTTACAGCGTGAGGGTATTTTCAGCCTTGTTAAGGAGGCTTACGGCAGCTGACGAGGAGATCCCCCGCGGGAAATGTGATATGCAATAGGACTTTTTTTTTTTTCGTCATCTCCATCCCGCGGTGTTTGAGAAGGTGATGGAGAGTTTGTCAAGCACGCCGGGTTGTGCTTGATTGATGAGGCAGTAATCAGTTTACAGCTCGGTGGGGAAGGTTAAAAAAAGTCTATTGAAGCCTCCATGTTTTTATCTGTACCTCCTCCACTGTGATGACCAAAATGCTGTTGGTTTTGTTCAGTCGAGTATTACGAAACAGCGACCATGTATAGTGGACTCTGGTGCTCTCCCTTGTGGATGCTGAAGTGATTCTTGTCCTGTCTGGAGCATCAATATTCTTCCAAGGTCACAGAGACACAAGTGCCAGTTACCTGTGTGTTGTGCCACTGTAGAACATGTTTCTCTCCGCCAGTGAAGGAATCATTCAGGATATTTTGATCAATTTATTCTAAGGTCAAAGTAAGTGAATTAAGCAGTCTGTGACAGTCAGTGAGTTAGTGACAAGAGTATTTCTCCGTCAGTAAGTGAGTTAGTCTCAGAGTCAAGTATAGAACTGCTAGCGGAATTAAAATAACCAAACCTATTTTTTTCCTTCCTCTACCCCCTGACTTTATCACCCTCTACCAGAAATATTTCGCCGTATCAATATTCCTTAAAGTGAATAAAAAACACAAAAAATAAATAAATAAAATACAAAGGTAAAACAGCTGAAATATTTAACATTCGAGGAATTAATATTATACAAAGAATCACTGGTGGCGAGGCGACATAAACCCATAACGGCTTATCATCTGAAGCAACGTTAAAGCCACGACCAATCCAAAATTCAACCCCCACTTTATCCAGGAAACCATCTGTAAAAAAATTTGGTCCGGAGATGTGGTTTGTGATAGTGGTGACACACACACACACACACACACACACACACACACACACACACACACACACACACACACACACACACACATTCTAGATAAAGACACATAAAAGCAGCATAAGTATACATAAACCTAAATAAATACGCACAAAAACACACACACGTACATATACACAGAAGCTGGTATTATGTCTACATACCATGAGCACCTAAGAGAGGAAAACAATATATAAAAACAACAGCTAAAACAAGGGAAGACATCAACAACAACAACAACAACAGCAACAGCAACAGCAGAAACAACAACAACAACAAATACAACAACAATAGTCACAAAAAAGTGTGGCAGGATTTAATTTCAATGGTCAGTGACACACGAGTCTTCCTCCGTCGGGTCTGGGCTGAGAATCCAAACACGACGAGAACCTGATATACTCCAAGGTCCCTAAGACAGACAGACAGACATACAGACAGACAAACAGACAGACAGACAGACAAACAGACAGACAGACAGACAAACAGACAGACAAACCATTACAGAGAGAGAGAGAGAGAGAGAGAGAGAGAGCAAATTGATATAATACGCAGAACTGTGCAGTTTTCTGGAACATGCACTAAAAACAACAAAGATAGCCTCACACGCGACTCATACCACAGACACACACACACACACACACACACACACACACACACACACACACCCCTATACACACACACACACACACATCTCTATACACACACACACACACACACACACACACACACACACACCCTATACACA